TCTCTCTCTCTCTCTCTCTTTGTGGAACCAGGGATTGAACTCAGGCCCTTGTGCTTGCCAGGCAAGCGCTTATTCTACCAAGCCATCTCCCAGGCCCCTCTCTCTTCTGAAAGACCCCACCTCACCAGGCATCCAGCTCAAGGCCACATGGTAAGGACCATGGAGAGAGTGGAGAAGGCTTTGGGGAAGGGACATGTTAAGAACTGGCTCTGAAACAGCAGACAACCTTCCAGAAAGAGCATAGCCTGAGGAGAGGCAGGGTGACCAGGAATGTGGGGCTCCCCTGTGGAACACAGAGGTATCAGGAGGAGGCAGTGCATCCAGGGTGCCCTGGACACTTCTTCATAGACACTTGGTGACCAAAGCCTAACCTGGACACCTGAAGTGGAGCCTGAGGAGCTCACCCAGCGTTCATTTCCACGAGCACCACTACCATCATCATTATGGGGTCACTGAACATCCAGGCACCTATAAGTTATCCAAGAGACCTGGGAGGAACTGCGCAGGCCAAGGTCACTACTCTACCCTACTCCAACCCACTGTATCTCTGAACAAGAACAGCTAGGACAGAAGGAGAGCAGAACAGGAGGCACTTGCGGGATGGAGGACACAGCTCAGCAATTAGAAACACGACTGCTGAAATTCAAAGTACACTTTTAGAAAACATAGATACACTGTTATGCACTGAATAATGGGATTTCAGTCAACTACAGGCCACCTTGTAGACCAGTGATCCAATAAGATTATAAGGAGGAGAGGTGGGCATAGCCCATTGGCAGAGTGCTTTGCCTGTCCTACACTTGGCCCTGGCTTCAACCCCCAACCCTATACGTGAGGGAAAGCAAAAGATGATAAGAGTGCTGAAATTCTCCTTCAATTGCTAATGTCGCAGGCATCACGACATCAGAGCACAACACATTTCTCATGTGTTTATGACACAGGTATGAGCAGACCAACTGCACTGCCAGCCGCACAGAAGTGCAGCACATGCATCAGGTGCCGCCAAGAACAACGCCCAAGGATAACAAATGACCATAGCACTGGGTTATCATTCGCTATACTAAATTTTTGTTGTTGTTTTAGAGTATGTGCCTTCTAATTGTAAAAAATAAAAGTTTACTATAAAACAGTATGCCGTATTACACCAGCAGCCTTCAAACATCTCTTGTTTATTGAGCCTCTTGATTACACCATTTTCTCTTGCGCTTGATTTAATTTTGTGTTGTTTTATTCATCATGGCCCTAGAAGCAGTAGGCTACCTCATATACACATACACACATGCACACACACACACATATGTGCACATACACATATAAAAAGTGGGATCAAAATATAGCGAATATTTAAATTTTTAACAATGCACTACAGCAAGAGGTGCATGCCCAGTCATCCTCTTCAAGATATCCCCCCACTGTGGATGTACTCACCACAGCTCTTGCCACTTTCTGAAGCACTTCTGGCAATCCTCCTTGTGAATCTTTACAGTGTGATCAAAACTATGGTAAATGAGGCTGCCTAGAGCCATCCACTGGAAAGACAGCCACATAAAAACATCACAATGTGTCTTTGTATACTTTATTCACCCAATCTGGCAACTCCTGGCTCTTCTCCAAAGTCAAAATTGACCATGAAGGGCCGGTGGTATAGCTCAGGAGCACAGCGCCTGCCTGGCAAGTGCAAGGTCCTCAGGCAGATTCCCAGCACCCCACCATCACCACCCAAAAAAAAAAGAAGAAGAAGAAGAAAAGAAATGACTATGAGGTAAACATTTTGAATCCATTCAGGACACTAAGCCAGCCACAAAAATGCAACTAAAGACATTCACAGAAGTTCCAGAAATGATTAAGAAAGTGGCAAGAAATGAGGAGGAGTATTTGGAGAGGGATTAATGCCAATGTGTTTTATTGTAATAAAAATTTTAAAATTATTCCCATGTGGCAAACCACTCCAAAACTTAGTGGTGAAAACAATGATTTAACCCAGGACTCTGAGGTAGGTGGTTGGTGGTGTGGCTGGCCCTATGGGCAGATTCTCTGGGGTCTCACTGGGCTTGTCATTGCCTTCAGGTGACAGGAGCCCAACTGGGACATGTGGCAGAGCGGCCTGGCCCCTGGGCCCGGTGAGACTGACCAACGGCTATTTCTGTCAGCGCTCAGTTTCCTGAGCTACTCACTACTGAAGATACACATTGAGGGTGTTATTCCAGATAGGGCAAGCTGAAGGATGGCATATCATGGACTCAGGGGCCATGAGGACAGAGCTATGATGATAGGAGGGGCCCCGCTTGGTTCCTATGCCAGCCCTGGCCCATTGTGACCTCCTTGGCTGCACATGGGCCTTTGTGACTGTCCTCTGGGATAGACCTGTGAACCAGCATGACACCAAAGCGCCCTCAGTAAGAGGGCGGCAGGTCAGCCAGGCCAGAGCCTGGACCTGGGGTCAGAAGGGCTTATAGAGAGGGATGGAGGGGCCCAAGACTCTGGGGCCCTGTGGCCACTCTCATCCCCAGTGTCCCCCAGCCCCAGCTTCGAGCAGCCATGGAGGATGCCTTGATCAGCCCTGCCAGGGATTTGTAAGGTGGCCCTGCCTGGTCCCTCTGCCATCCAATCACTCACTGGAGTCTGGGAGGACCTTCCCAGCCCCAAGGCCAAAGGGTGGGGGGCCTAGGGTGGGAGGCAAGGCCTCCTTTCTGTCCAGCGAAGAAGAGGAGATGCAGCAACAGAGAGCAAGAGAGCCGGGGGGGCCAAGACCAGGAGAAACAGAGGTGGGGATGGGGTGGGGATGGGCCCTCCACCCAGGGTCAGAGCAAGGGCCACCCAGGCGGGGAGCATCCCCCAGCTCAGGGCCTAGACTCTGCCCCTGCCCCACCCTGCCCCTAGGAGGAGGGGCCTCAGTTGCACCCAGAGCAGTACCCCCTCAGCTCCAGAGAGGGCGGCTGGGGTCTGCAAAACCATCCTTTCTCCAGCTGGAGCGGGAGAATCACAGCCTGGTGAGTGCAGCTCTGCCAGCTGGAGGCTTCAAGCTGCTCCCCACTGCCCTGGCCTCTGTCTGCTCACAAAGCCTCAGCCCCAGCCCTCCACCCCAGTTTCCTGCCTGAGAAGTGGCCAAGACAGGTGACCCCATCTCTATCTCGAACTCCAGAAAAGGCAGAATCAGGACCTCCGGGAGCAGCTTGGGGCAATGCTGGGGCCAGGGCAGCAGTTCCTGCCCCTATGTCCTGAGCACTCCAGCTGCTCAGCCCTGGCCTGGGTAAGTACAGCTGTAGCCCTGTGACTGCACAGCCTCACTTCTGCCCCATGACTGCAGGCCTGAGGCTTCAGCTCCTGCTGACCTGGGGCTCTCCCACAGTCCCCCGAGTCAGCCAGCACCAGGCCCCCAGAGGAGAGGGCTCCTGTGCAGCTGCTGCGGCGCGAGATGTGCCGGGGGGAGGAGGCCTTCGTACAGCAGTCCCAGGTGGGCCTGCAGGGGCAGGGGGTGGGCCCAAGGAGGGGCTACCCAAGCCCATGCTTTGCCCCTCCTCATCTAGAATGAGCTGCAACAGATCCGACTGTCCTTTGAAAGGAAGAAGATGGCCATCACAGAGGTGCCCAGAAAGCCCAGGCCAGGAGGGCTGCACGGGGACTCTCTGTTGGTTCACACCTTGGGCGTGACCCCACCTTCTCCATTCCTAGGTGTGGGATGGTGTGGCAGAAGTACACATGGCCCTGAACAACCAGGCCACTGGTCTCTTGGTAGGTCCCCAAAGGTGACACTGAGGAGGATGAGTGGGGGAGGTATGGAAGGCTGGAGGTGAGAAACCCGGAAGGTGGCAAGGTGGCTGGGGTGGAGTGCCCAACTTACCTTCTTTGCCCTCCAGAACCTGAAGAAGGACATTCGGGGTGTGCTAGACCAAATGGAGGACATTCAGCTGGAGATTCTGGGGTGACATGGGGACCTAAGGCCTGGCTGAGCCACATCAGGATGGGGAAGACCCTATAGCTCCACAGTATGGGGTGGTATGAGGCAGGGGTGGGGGCCACAGTCCTGATAGCCCCACTCCCCACCCCAGGGAGCGGGCCCAGTGCCGCAGCCAGGCAAGGAAGGAGCAGCAGATGGCATGTGTGGCAGTGAGTTTCCCACCCCCACCCCTCCCTGCTGTGGGTGGGCTCCAGGGCAGGAACCCTCCCACTCCTGACCAGTCACCATGGAAAACAGTTCCTGTGGAGGGGCAGGGTTGGGCCACAGCTGGGGGGACACCATAGCTGAGGACCCCTACCCTCTGCCACAGCCCTCAGCACAGGCCCTGACATAGTCCCCTCCCCTACAGAAAGGGAGGCTACAGCTGGGATGTTCCAAGGGCTTCAAGGGCCAGCTCTGGTAGGTCACTTTGCGGGCAGAGCCCATTCTCCCGGATCATCCCCACAGCGGCCCCTCCCCCTGACCACCACCGCCCACAGGCTGCTGGCCCTGAGGCTACTGTTGGGCACCCTGCTGGCCTGCACTGCTGCCTACGTGTACGTGGTGGACCCCGCGCCCTTTGAGGGGTTGGTGCCGCCCCTGCTGAGCCGAGCCACGGTCTGGAAGCTCCGGGCCTTACTGGGCCCCTTCCTGCGTCTCGAGGTGGATGACTTCCTGCCCTTCTAGGCCGGAGGCCCAGTAGCCCCAGCGAGGAGGAGGCCAGGCTGCCGGCGTTGTCCCAGGTGTCCAGTGGCCTTGCCGGCTCCTGCCCACGGCACCGCCAAGCACCATCCCCGCCAGGAGCTGTGAAGGGTGGAGGCGGGTCTGTCCTGAGGGCTGGGCCTGTGGCTGGACATATAGTCATGACATGTTTGGTGTGTGAACTTGTTTGCAAGGAAACCAACATGGGGGCAAATGTTTTGATGTTTCTAAGGCACCCTGTCAGTCTGGCACAGAGGTCTCTCAGGGCAAGGCCCCTGCCTGACCCCCAGCACCAGCGCTGGCTCCCTCTCCCCACACTCATCCGGCCACTCTGGGCAGCCTCTCCTGAGGGCTCTGAAACGAGGGTGTCAGGAAGGTCTTCTCTAAGAGGCACTAGCCCAAAAAAGACCAGCGGTCCTTCGTTCTCAATTCACCAGAGCCTTCAGTCTACTGAACACCCTCACCCTGTCACCATCCTCAGGGCTTCTGTCCCCTCTTCAACCCAGGGTCCCTGTCCAGCCTAGCCTCCTGGCACTGCCCAAGGCTCAGACAAGGGGACCACATTGTTGGACAGAGCCATGGAGGTAAACACCAAAAAATTTTATTTTGGGGAATTCAATTGGCAGCGGGGATATCTCAGAACAACAGAGAATAGCTTTGTGGCTCTCTTGTCCCAAAATGGGAGACACCTATTGCCCAGGGTGGACCCTGGGAAAGAACCCCAAGCAGGAAGAGGGCTGGCAGAGCTCCATCCTGCTCTGTCCCAGGGGGCCTTCAGGCCTAGCAGGCTGGGATACTGCAGGGCTGTGGGCCTCAGGGCCCTCAAGCTCCCAGGGGCATCATCCCTGGATAACAGCCCAGGTGGGGCCAGAGAAGAGCTGTGAACAGGAACCCCATGGGTGGGGCAGCTAAGGGGCCCTGCCAGATGAGCTGAGGCCCAGGGCCCACAAGGCTGGTGGCTCCAGGTTAAGGCATCTGTTCCTGTGCTGGGAGTAGGGTAGGGAGAGTGCAGTGACGGCAAGAGCAACCTGAGACCCCCACCCCAGCCCAACCCACAGAGGCCGGTCCCCGAGAGGAAGTGGCTTAATCTAAAGTGCTTGGTGGGGCAGGGAAGCTGGGGTGAAGGTCGTGCTGGTCCCAGTGGGGTTTCCACCCCCTGCAGCAGGTGGGGGGCTTCCTGAGGTCACCTGGACACAGGGTCACGGGCCCTGGCAGGCTGGAGTCAATCAGAACATGGCTGGTGGAGAGGGGACCCTCTGCCCACGCCCAATCTTCCCCAGGGTCCTGGTAGCCTGGCTCCCTGGGACCCCAGTTGGGCTATCCAGGGCCTCGGAGCTGCCCACTTGGCAGTTGGCTAGGGCCCCGAGAGGCTGGGGAAAAGACTGGATGCAGCCGAGTGCAGGCGGCACATGGTCCCGCGCGGGGGTGCCCCAGAGGCTGGGCTCCAGGGGGCCCGCAGCGATGGGCGGTCCTCAGGGAGGCCGAGGTGGCACAGGTGCAGGCTGGGGGGCCCCCTGGGTTGGCCACGCCGCCCCCATGCGCGGCTACAGGTGCCTATTCGCCCCCTGTGGGCCGTGGCATCCAAAGAGAAAAGCAGAAAGGTGGAGGTCAGCATGGGGCAGAGATGCAGGATTCAAGGCTCCAGGTACCTCCCTCTGGGTCCCTGAGTTCCCACCCCCCAGCCTGGCCCACACTCAGCCCCAGTCATGGATTCCTGGCACTCCCCAATACCAGCATGACATGTCAGACAAGAGTGACTACCAGAAAATACAGTGGCTCCTAGAAGACCCCAAGCCAGCAGGGGGCCATACTCGCCCTCCACTCTATCTTCTCAGAGTCCTTGGGGTGGGCCCAGTTCCAGTCTTTCCCTACTTACCTAGTTGGCATCTTAAAAGTGCTACACCTGGGTGTGAAAACATACTTGTCAGCCAAGGACCCACCACCAGCCCCCAGACTTGGGCTTCAGTCAAATACCCTAAAGAACATTCTGCCCTATGACAGCCAGCCACCCCTCTCCTAATACCATAGATCCCCTGGAGTCCCCTGTACCCACAGCCCTGGCTTCACCAAGGAAAGGATCAGAATGTCTTTTTCTTTTTTTAATAAAATTATAGATATATAGATGTAGATATAAAAACATAAAACAGACACAATGCAAGCAGACGCTGCCATGTGCTTACTCTCAGGTCCCTGATGCCAGGGGAAGCACTGACCTCCCTCTCCAATGTGCTTTCCACATGGCACTGGCCAGGCCAGGGCCGGGGACTTCCTATGCCTTGGGGTGGGGCTTCTCCAGTTTGACAGGGAGGGCCTGAGGGCTGGGGATAGGGCTTCAGGTCTCACTGGCTCCTGGGGTGGTGTCTGGTCTACATGCCTGCTTCCACACCCTCCAACCCCAAGAGCACAAAGCAGAAGTTAAGGCTTCAATGAAAAAGACAGTGGCAGCCGAGCAAACACATTGGACGTGGCACGGCAGCACAGCACACAGACATGGGGACACAAGCCCGCAGGCCAGGCAAGATGGAACACACGGAGCTGGGACCCCACCACAGGTGGCTGCCTGTCTGTCCCTCCACCCATCCATCACAACCCAGAGCAGGCCGGGGCTGCAGAAGCATCAACCTTGACAAGCTGCAAGCTGCCAGCCAGTTGGGGAAAGGCAACATGTTAGGGGCAGCTAGGAGGGCAGGGCCCCACCTCTGTTCATCTCAGGGCCACAGTGACCCATCTATAAGGGGAGTAGGCAGGCCAGTAGGATTGCTGGAGACTGACCTATAGGGATGAGGGTGACAGGGTGGTGAGGTTGAGATTGGCCAGTGGGGGAAGCACTCTGGGTTCCCCCTCACTGCCCGGCAGGGGCAGACATACAGGCCCACACCCTGGCAACACCCAGCCCAGCTTTGCCCTGGGACCCAACTTCCTGGTGAGATGAGTGGACGGACTGGCACAGGGCACTGGGACAAGCTTGTGGAGGCGTGGCGCTCTCTCCTGCTGATGCGTCCACACCAGGCTTGGGCGGTGGCCTCTCCCTGGGGCAGAGAAGTTGGAGGGGCTAGGGGGAACCACCATGGGGTCCTGGTCCCTGTAGCGCCATGGCAGACAGGTGGTGGTCAGTTCTCACACCGAGATCTCGTACGTTGTCCCACCCACGCCGGACACCTTCTTAACCAGCGTGTGCCGGGCAGGGCTGGCGGAGGGCCCTTGGGGGCCAGCAGCAGGCCCCAACCAAGGCAGGCCTGGGGACTGCCCGTTAAGCTTACTTGGGGGGGTCTTCAGCTGAGGGTGGTCCCTGCATTAAAACAAGCACATATATGCATGTACACAGTGAACATGGGACGGTGGTATGACAGGACACATAGACATGGACTGCACCCGTGTCCTAGACCCTGGTTGTATTGTCACAAAATAGATGTCAGACATCTTGGGTCCCTTGATTTCTCCCAGCTGGCACTGGTCACTAAACTGAGCCCTAAGCCTTATCCCACCTTGTCCTGGTGCCCTAGGTAGGGAAGCCTGGTAGTAATACTGTCTGGACCCACCCTGTCCCCTCAGAATGACGGGCTTTTTTTCTGTCCTCTGGCCAGCCAGTGCTGACCAGTCCTTGCTGCTTAAACATCCCTGTGTACAAAAGCCTCTCTCTCCCCAACTTCTGTTGTCTGCCTCACCACAGCCACATCCTGAACCCTAAGGAACCAGCCAGGCTCCAGTAGCATGGGGTCAGGAGCCATGTTCAAGGCCAGGTTGCACTCCCCAGCTTCCCTGTGGCCCAGGGTCTCCTCTAGGGCCTCATCTGCCAATAGGAAAACTGAGCCTTTGCTCAGGGTAGTGGGGGCCTGGATGGGACAGTGTCAGGATGGTGCCATGAGGGGCCGGGGAGATGGCTCAGTGGAATAGGCATTTCCCTGGCAAGGGCAAGGGCCCAAGTTCAATCCCTGGTTCTGCCAAAAAAAAAAAAAAAAAGGATGGTGCCATGAGGGCTTGTCCCACACAATGCTCAACCTGGCTCTGCAAGGCAGCCTCAGTTGACAAACCACTGGGAAGCCTTGGTTTCTCTAAGTAGAAGCTGGATAGCTTGTTGCACTGTCATATGATGTCCATATTTAGCCTTAGCCTCTTGGGCTACATCAAGGCAGGCCCAAGGAGAGCCCCAAGCAGACCCAGGAAGGAGAGAGCTCATGACCCCACAGAGACCCAGGCTGTGGTTTGGCACCAGTTCCAGAGGAAGTCATCCCTGGGCCTTTCTGTGTGCTGGGTCTGTGTCAGCTGAGACAGTGTGAGATGTTGCGCTCACTCTCCTGCCCTCACACAGACATGGAGTGTACCCCGGGGAATCCTCAGTGTTGGGCCAGCTTCATATAAGGCAACTAAGAGGTCTTTGAGGCAAGATGAAGCCCACCCTTTCTGCCTGGTCCCCCACAGCCACCATAGCACCAGGCCAAGAGGAGCGGGCCCCAAGGAACCTGGATGATACCCTGTATGGGAAACCCACCCGTACCACCAGCACCCACCTCTGCACAGCCAGTGAGGGCGGCCGTTCTGGGAGGTCCGTGTGGATGAAGGCGACAGCTTTGGGGCCCACGTAGGAGGGCGAGTGGGGAGTACCAGGCGGAGAGGGGAGGCCTTGGCGAGCAGGTGACCTGTGTGAACCACTGCCTGGCCGTGGCCCTGGGGCACTGCTGCTAGCTTGGTCTGCCTGCAGGGAGGACGAGGATGTCCGTGGTGCTCGGCTCACAGAGCTGCTCAATGAGGACAGGGATGTCTGTAGGGCAGGGTTGCGGGCACCACCAAAGCCAGGCCCAGCCACGAGGTCATCTCTGGAGCCGTAGCGCAGCATGGGGCCTCGGCTGCCATCAGACAACATGCTGGCCTGCTGCAAGCTGTAGGAGCTAGGTGCGTCATAGACGCCAGAGTCGCCGAAGAGCGAGTCAGCCTGGGAGCGCAGCAGCCGCTCTCGCTCCTCCCTGTCCTTGCGCTCCTGGATGGAGGCCATGATGGTCCGAGACAGGTTGTCATAGCGTACAGGTGAGGGCTCCCGAGGCCGGGGGCCCAATACA